ATTATAGCCAAAATTTTAACCTTTTTAAAGAGATATCAGTTTTAGAAATTTTATCTTAAGATTTTATACTATAGCACATTTCTAATAGGTTTAACGAATTACATGTCATTTATTTGAATTCAAATTTATTTTAATGACTTAGTATTTACTAAAAAGATGTATTTTTTTTTTAAAAAAAAAAGTTGTTATATGGATTTGAATGATTGTTTTGAATTCTTAGAATTTTGTGCATTTGCAATGTATCTAAGTTAGTAGCGAGCGAAGCGAGCTTGGTTTGCGAAGCAAACCATATAAGATTGCGTAACAATTTTCGGGGGTTGGCGAGCGTTAGCGAGCAGGGGGCGCAGCCCACTTGTTAAATAAAATAGCTTAGTATATAATCTGAAAAAAATATGCGTGATAGAATAGAGAAAGAGCAAAAAATACAATGAAATAATAGGTTGCCAGGTAATTAAAAATTTAATTTCAAAATTAAGATGTTAGGACGACATTTAAGATACTGAGGTATTTTAAGATGCTTAAAAATTTTGGATACGTATTCGACAGCTCTTTATGTTTGGCATATTTACACTCTTAGTTGTAAATTTTAAAACATCAACAATTTTTAGATAATCGTTGTTGATGTCACAAGAGTTTTGTTCAAGACAATATAAAGATACCTTTTACATAATCGTTCGTATTTTTATCGTTTAATTAATAAAATATGCATTAAATAATTGATGAATATATTATTATAAATAAATGCATACTTATGCACATTAGTGAAATTGAATCAATTGAGGAATGCATCAATTTAAAACTTAATTAATAAAAAAGCAGAATCGTAACTACATTCAATCAAAAATAAGTTTTTATAAAACTTGACATTCGTTAAATATAATATTTTATACAAATCTCTTTAATAATTAAGTATAAATTAGCTGACGATTTAAATAGAAACATCGTATTTTATCATTAAAAAAAGAAAAGAAAAAGAAAGGAAAATGATATCTAATCCAAAAAAAAAAAAAAAAAAAAAAAAAAAAAATCATGAATGAAATTTACGCTGGGCTTCTATAGTAAGTCAATTTTCTTCTAAGTCTACCAAATTTAGGCATAAATCGCTCCATTTAAATATTTTTCTCACTGTCGCCAAATTGTTTTTTTTTTTTTTTTNATACAAAAAAAAAAAAAAAAAGAAAAAAAAAAAATCATGAATGAAATTTACGCTGGGCTTCTATAGTAAGTCAATTTTCTTCTAAGTCTACCAAATTTAGGCATAAATCGCACCATTTAAATATTTTTCTCACTGTCGCCAAATTGTTTTTTTTTTTTTTTTTAGAATGATTAATTTGAATTGTTCTCATCTTCTACAAAGTGAAAATAAGTAAAAATTTTGATCACACTCTAAAAAAAATGCGTAGATTAATATGGTGTAAAGAAATTTATGGCTCATAAACTTTTTCCGTTCAGTATTAAACTAAATAATAATAAATAATTATTAAAAAGTAGTTTTTTGCATGAAATTATCTTTAGGTAAACGCGTTTCATGAATAGGGTTTTTTTCTTTCTAAATAGCGCAATTCGTTATAAAGATATGACCAAAAAAACACAAAAAGTGAAATTAAAATTCAGGGGAGCAAACTTTAGACAGCTCTTCTGGCTAAACTATTACGACCACAATTTACGGTATGTTTATTCAGAGAAAGTACGCTTTTGAGCTTTATTTTGTAATTAAAAAATATCGCCACCCATAATTAATTAACATATTTGAAGTCCGTCCCCCCTCAAACCATTAAGATTGAGTCCTATAGAGCGTCCGATCATTAAATCAAAAGTTATTCTAGATAGTCCGGTTTTTTTTTAAATTATTTTTTTGCGCACTTTACATAATTAGTTTAGCTATTACTTTCATATGAATTTAGCTATTACTTTGATACCCATTTTAAGACTTGTTAGACGCGAATGAGGAGAAACAAAAGTGAAATGAGAAGAATTTTGTTTTTTCTTATTCACATGCAACAAGCCATGAAAACTTGTGTCTGTTTTAGAGCACTTGAAACATGTCGACTGTTATTTCCTATTTATATATTTTTGAAGTGAATGAAATTTTTAATTAGGTAATATACGTCTTCAGTTTCTTGGGATTATTTATTTAGTATCGTTCGTAAGTATATTACCTTTCAAAAAAAAAAAAGTGGTAAATACTGATTTATTACTATCAAATTTTAAAGTTTCAGAACTCCGAAATAAATTCAAAAGCTAAAAAAGAGACCTACATTTTTTTAAAAACTTTCAGACATAGTATTTGGCAGCAAAAAATTGTGATCTGACAATTTTTCTGAAAAAGGTAGTTGTGAATAAAAATAATCAGAAAGCCGCATAACTTACCTTGGAAAGTTATGTGATTAAGATAGAGTTATATATCTGTATGAATGTTTCAGAATTTTTTTATTTAAAAATTAATCATGAGCAATTTTGATGTTAAAAATATCTATATAAAAAACTTATTTATGCTTAAAAGTTATTTAGAATATTTTTCAATATTTTAATATGAAGTTCTTAGAAAGAAAATGATTGAAATAATTAAAAAGAGTGATTATAAAGGCTTGGGGGCTACGCTTTTTCTTTCTTTTTCTTTTTTAAAAATCATTAGTTTTCAAAAAAAAAAATAAGAAAAGAAAAGGTAAAAAATAAATTATAACTTACTTCCAAAATCGCTTCTCATTCATCATTTTTTTTTTCCTTTTAAAAATCGATATTTTTCAAAAATAAATACTTTAGTTTATAAAATGTATAATTGCGTATTATTATTTTATCTAAGAATATTTTGTTAATGTGTTATTCCTTAGGAAATGAACGATTATTCGAATTTGAAAAATTATCAACTATGCTAAAACGATTATACTACTAGTAGTGCTCAACTACTATACTACACTTAAAAAAAAGAAAGAAAAAACAACAAAAGAAAGAAAAAAAAACTAAAACTAAGGAATGCAGAATGCGTGAGGCAATAAGAAACAATAAATAAGAAAAAAATTAAAACTGTAAAATATACTACGTATAGCAACAACGTCTAATATCTCAATCTCTTACTTTTTTATTTTATGCATTCGTTTCTTTCTTTCGTTTTCTTAACTTTTTTTTGTTGCTTTTGACATTAAATCAAGCGCGAGCTTATAAAATGATGATCGTGAAAAAGAAACGGATAGTCATTAATTAAAACAAGAAGATTCTGCATAGTATTTTTTACCGCAAGTTTAACAATCTTTGAACTAATTATTGAATGTTTATTTTTTATTCCATCGTATTCTTTGTACATTTTCAACCCAATTTTTAAGTTTCTAAGTTTTATAGTTTTTGCGTAGCAAAATGAATTGCAAGTTGAACTTCAGCACCTGAAACAGAACGGCGCTTTTGATTTTTTAACATGGAGAAAAAAAAATTATTCACAAGCAAAATGCTTTTAAAATGAAAAATATCATTCAATATTCCAAAGAGTTAACTACTAAGAGGATAAAAAATATCTAAAACTTAAAAAAAAAATTATAAATTTATTTCAATAAATGATAGAAAAAAAATTAAAAAGATCAAAAAGGTAAAAAAAAAAAAAAAAAAAATTTATAGATTAACAATATATTAGCCCTGGTTATTATTTTTGGCATATATTTGGGCATTATTTTTTCATAAGATTATAGTAAATTTTAATAGAAAATTTGTAAAATTCTATTATTTCGAAAAAGAAGCACTCATTTTGGCGAGATGGCGCAAGTGGCTGTTTCTTATTTTATAAAATTTTAGCTCGAAGTAAGAGTAAAAATAAATCAATAACGAATACTTTATACATAATATCAGAATTAGGTTTCTCATTCTGTCTTTCAGTAAATATATGCAGTGCCTACAATTCATATTTTTCACTGTCAGTTAAATATTTAATATAGGAACAGTCCCATACTATTCAAAGAAGAAATATTCATCATCGATTCGCGTAGGCATGTGTCAGTGGCGCGGTGTCGAGAAGATGAATAATGCAATTTTTCGCCATCTCTTTGCCTTGGCGGGTGTCAAACAACCGCCAAGATTCAGTCAGCTGTGTGCCAGTGGTCTCGGAAGACCGTGAGAGATTTTTTTCTTCAAGCAAGTGCAATCGCACTGAACTGCGGATATTTACTTCTCCATGTTCTGGATGACCATCGTGACGGTCCATAATGGCCGGACACGAGCAAGATTTTATTTTAAGTGGCCTTTTTATTACTAAAAGTGAGAGAATTCGTGTGATTTTGAACAAGGAGTGCCTTTTGTGGGAATCTGATAATTTATCAAAATGTAAGAAAAAGGATTATGATTTGTGTTCGACAATTCGAGAAAATGTTTGTTTTTGTTCCTAAACTTATGTAATCTTCTTGTATATAATCTGGACATCTTAATATAGATGTCCAGATTAAATTAATTAATCCAGATAAAATTATTTTATTTTGCGGATATGAGGTTGTTTGCTCAATGGATAATGTTTACATGTTTTGTTGACATCTCTATGGCTGACATAGGAGTGAGAGTGTTGTTTGTAAATAAAGCAATATTTTTCCTGATTCAATGGTTCATCTTTGAATAAATTTTACCTTATCGATTGTATTAGACTAATATAAAATGTTCGAGGGACCTTTTTTAAATAATTTTCATTAGTGAAAATTCGAACGCAGAAGTGTTTGTTACTCGTGGACTTTTTAGAAAATTTTTAGAATGTTAAATCATTAATACATTTTTGCATTTTATAAGCAAGTATATAAATTTTTTTTATCATTTTTATTCTTATTAAATGAACATATTTGCAAAGTTTGCTCGTTAAATTGCAACGAAAAAGAAAAAAAATAGAGTTAAATATTAATTTTACAATTTTGTGCTAATAAGCAAGCGTTTACAGTATTACCTTATTATTATCATTAAATTTACGTATATTTATGTAATTTGGATGTATAGTTAGATTAAAAATAGAAATGATTTTATGTCATTATAATTCATATTAAATTAAACCCATATTTTTGAAATTTGGATATGTAATTAGAACAAAACTGATTTTTTTTTAAGAAATAAAATGTACTAATATATTCATGTTACAATTTTTGTTTATAAACAATAATTTACAATTTATCTTATCATTATTCTTTTTAAATTGGTTATATATTTATGTTATTTGAATGTAACAAATATGGGATAATTTTTTATGTAGTTAAATGATTTATATATTTAGATTACCATTTTTGTATTTATAAAGAAGTACTTCGATTTGTCATATATTTATTATTCTTGTATAATTGGGCACATAATTATGTAATTTGGATGTAGTATAAGAACTGTTAGGAGACAATACACTTAGTTATTTCCTTTAAATTTTTTAACTCATAAAGACAAAATCTGAATTAATATAAATTTTATCTTTAATGTTTTAAAATGATTTTATTATTTTATTACTTACATTAAGGCAGTGTTTTTGACATCAAAAGTTTTTTTAATATAAATACAATCACTATAGATATTTTTTTAAAGTACATAACACATTTTAACTTTTTTTTTTTTTTTTGCACAGTGTGAAAGTTTTACAATTCAATTTAAATAACATATCAAGATTTAACTGATTTATGAATTTTTTTTATTTAATACCACTTTGCAGTTAGTATATTTCCATCTGTGTGTATTTAGGGTAAGACAGTAGCATTGCCAATTAAAGTGAAGAACAAAAAATATTGCTGCCTAACTATTGTATTATTTTTCAGTATATGTGTCAACAACACATATACTGAAAGCATTTTAGTCTTAGTATATGACTAAATCTTTTCTTTTAGTTTAGTTTGTTATTTGTTTTTTTTTATATGTTTTATCTTCATTTATTTTATGATATAGAAATAAAAATTTTATGATTATCTTTATTTTTCAATATTTTTTTTATAAGTTATTTCTTTTATGCAATAAACTATATCAATAAAAGAAACTTAAGAGGGAATTTTTGATTATGGAGATACTAATTTTATTTATTATTTTTAATTACTTTTACCTCCAAGTTGTAAGATATATTGTAATAGAAATTAATTTAATCTGTATTTGTAGGTTAAAATGGGATATTTTTTTTTTAAGATAAAGTATCTACCCTATCAAAAAAGAAAGTAAAAAAGAGAAAGAAAGAAAAATCTTACAAAATTTCTTTTCAAACATTTCAATGCGAACACTATACTTTTAAACTTTTCCCCTAAATAAACATTTTTCTAAAAATGTAACAATTGTTTAAGAATGGACATTGCACTGTACTTGTAGAAATTTTTTATTTTATTTACTTATTATGAAACTGGAGAACCAGTACATTAAAAAGATATTTGTTGCCACATTGTTACTGTTGCTTTGTACTCATAAAATAAAATTAATGTTCATTGCCTGCACAAAATAATCTCAACACTAAAGTGATTATTAAAAAAGTATTTTATGAACTTATGTACTTTAAAAAAAAGGAGTGCTTAAAACCCTTTAAACCCTTTCATTGGTAGGTTTGCTTTGAATTACTTTAAAATACCAATTCTTATGAGCACAAAATAAAATAATTTAAGAATAATGTGGTTACTTGAAATATATTTTGTGATATTGATTGTTTTTATAGGTTATTTCTTTAGTCAAGGATTATGAATTGTATCTTAATGAATGCTACAAATTTTAATATTTTTAATAAGAATTATCTTTATTGTTAAAAAAAGTGTTGATTGAAAGATTCAATACTCTGGGCAGCTTTGAGAATAACAAATAGAACAACATTGTTCCTTTATTAACATATTCTTATTAGGATATAGGATAAACCTTAATACATATTTCAGGATTGAGTTATTGTTCTCAAGAACTGGTTCTTCAAAGGAGAAGCTTAAACAACTAGTTTAAACCAACAAAAACCTAGGACAATATAAAATTATCCTAGGTATCATAATGAATCTGAATTCTTTTTCAACATATTTAAAATATTAAATTATTGTATAAATTAATGCTAATGCAAAAATAAATGTTAATGCATGCATATTTGGTTAAAAATATGCAATCAAAAAGTAGAATTATAGTTTTAAGCAGAAGGAAAAATATTTTTACTTTCTTTTCTATTTACTTTTATTGTTTTATTTTATTTAATAGCTCTCATTTTCTCGATTAATTTTTAAACAGACTTAATGCAATGCTGTTATTTGATTTTTTTAATAGTTAAATGGTTAAACAATTAATATTTTGTTTAGTTATAATTAGCAAGGATCAAATTTTTTTCTTTTAATTTTAATGTTTTGCCATGGCATAAAAGCCAACTTACAAAAGGGGATTCATTTATAAAGAGAATTGTCATAAGTAAATGATGGCATGAATAGTTGTTTTAAGTTCTTATTGTTTTTTTTTCTTTCTATATTATTTGATGTCTTTCTTAAAGTAACTATAACTATAGAACTTCCAGGAATTCATTTGCTAGCATACATTGCAAATCATAAATTAGCAACTTAAAGTATTTTCATATTAAGCTATAGATTTAAATATTTTATTTCATAGATTATATTTATGCAATACAAGGTTTTGTTTTAAGGTATTTTCTTCTCAAGAACAGTAGGTACTTTACGGTTGGCTGAGCGCTGGTAAATTCATGGTTAAACCAGTCAAATATTTGTCAAACTTGATAAATCTTTTTTTAAAAAAAATATTTTTGACCACTGACATTGAAATTAAATAAATATGTGGGGAATATTTATTTAATTTCTTGTAAAGTATGTTTTTGTCATTTAAAAATTTTCTCATCACTTCTTTTAATTGCTTACATGAGAATTTTGTATTGTTTTCAAAGTTTAATTTCCATATTTTTCTCAGGAAAAGCTATCTTTTGATTTTTTATACAAATAATCAATTATCTTGAATTAGTTTGTGGAAGTTCTTGTGTACTTATACTTTTTTTCCCTCCAGTTTTTGTACTTATTTTATTTTAATCCATTTGTGATCCAGTTCTTGTACTTTTTTTTACTTTGAACCATTTCTGCCCAGTGTTATTTTAAAATGTTTTTATTTAATAAAGAAAAAAAAAGGTGGCAGGATTATTTCCTTATTAGGATTTATTTTGCATCCGTAATATATTAATTATATAAATATTTATATTTGGAACTTAATTTAAGCAACAGTGCTTTTTTAATGCTCAAATGGTTACATAACAGAGAGAAATATCCACTCGGTATATATAAATATGTGCTATTATTTTTATCATATGTTTTTTGGACATTATATCGATCATTTTTTTTTGTGCCAGGCACAGAAGAGTTAATAATGTTTACAAAAGATTTTGTTAAGTATGAATCTGAATTATCTGTTGTGCAATTATTTTTTGTACAATGGATGTATTAAATGGACAACTATAGTTATTAAGAACAAAAAATATATTGATAATTATAATAAAGGGAGAAAAACACTAAAACTTACGAACAAATATTTTATTCAAATGGCTAAAAAAATAATTATAAATCTACAAGTTTCGATGCTACACTTTAGTATCATCTTCAGTACACAGTAAAAGATCTTCAGTTTGCTGTATATACAAGATTGCAACAAATGAATGTTATGTAATGTTTTTGTAAAGAAATGTAGTGTTTTTTGTGGTCCTTTTTTATTGTACACTACAGATGATGCTCTAGTGTAGTATTGAAACTTATATACTTTTAATAACTCTTATAATACAAAATTCGGGGGTTTTAACATTGATTTTTGTATTTTATAAATATAGATATTTGAAACTTTCTTCTTAAAATGTTTTTTGCTGATGAATTTTTCTTTTTTTTTTACTTGTAGCTAAAAATGTTGTTCTATTGAAGCACATAATAGCTGTTACACCTTGTGATTGTTCTGGCTATAAGCAAACAAAACCAGTATTATGCTGCTATTGCCAGATTCAAGAGCTTCGAACTGAGCATTCAGCATCAAAATATGTTTTGCCAGTGAACGTGCGATCAATAAAAGTTCATTATGCTGTGCCTTCTGGTAGACATAAATGGAAACTTGCTAGTCATGTTCTACAACCTCTTGATGCGGTGAGAGTGAAAGATTGGATCGATTCTATTCAAGATTTATTAGCAGGTTTCTTATATTTTGTTCACTAATTTTTTTCTATTTTTACGTATAATTTTTTGCTAAATATACTAATCTCATTTAAAAGCTTGTAATGGGAAATATGGTATGAATATGATGCCATAAAAAGCACAATGTTCAACAGATTGTATGGGGTGTATATAATTTAATAAGTATATTCTATTCATTTAAGAGGCATTGATTTTCGAATTATTTGAAACATGACATGAATGTGATGCGTACTAAAAAACAATGTCTGACTTATTATATGGTATGTATAAGATATAATGTGAAGTATATTCCATTAATTTAAAAGACATTGATTTTTTGTTTATTAAGTTCTGAAGAACAATGTTTAAATGTTCATATGTATATAATTTTAAGTTAAGCATATTTAACTCACGTAAAAGTTACCTGTAACCAAAAGTAATCAATTTACTTTGTAAGGACTTTTGCTCTTGATCTTTACCATAAGGTAGGATCAGTTTCCTTCTATCTGAATTTTTCTGGAGGTGCTGTCTCCATACACTTCTTTGAAAATAAAAAGAATACAAAATTCAATTGTATATACTTTGTACAGTCACAGGCGAAGATATAATGATGCTAAACAGCAAGTAATGATTAGGCTATTGATCGAAAGCGATGTTTGATGACTATGTAAAAGGATGGTTTTGCAATTCACCTTCTGCTGCGCTTGGCCCGTTTTGCCGTAAAACGTGATTTTCAAATGCATATAAAACATGGATTTCATCTTCTATGTTTTCGTGTATTCAGATATTGGAAAAGTTTATTTAGAACTTTAAGAAAAAGAGAGGGGAAAAAAAAACAGATTTCTAAAATTTAAGAAAATTGGTGTTTTTGCAACTGAACAGCACACATGCTTACTAGACATATTTTGCATTTGTAATGTATTGAATTTTATCCACCAATTGCAAATCTTTTTTTAAAATTTCAGTTTCTTTCATAGTTACATTTATAATATGTTTTCCACATTTACATAGTTTTTATAGATTTTAAAATGGACTTATTTGATTTTTTTTTTTTTTTTTGCATGCAAATTTTTCATTTTATAAGAATAAAGCAATCATTATATAAAGCCTTTAATAACTAGTTCATAAAAATAATTTCACTTTATTTACATTTGTAATGTCAGGGGCCTGTCCAGGCCGAATTTACTACCGTTTAGAGCAGTGGTTTCCAACTTGTATGAGGCCGGGGGCCACAATTAAAAACGCAAATCAAATGGCGGGCCGCAACTTGATCAAAATTTTAATGTAGGACTCCTTTATGTTTGAAGGAACATTAAATATTACTGTCAGATTTTTACACAAGTTGTACAAAACAAAAGTATTGAATTACAAATTAAAATAAGAAGTAGATTTTTAAAAATACTTAATTGTTACTAATAATATTTAAAAAAATATTAAATGGTAAAAATTCGGGCTACAATAACTTTAATGTGCACCTATATGTATTAAACAATTAATGTGCAACAGATATCTAATTGTTAAGATTTAAAACTTCAAAAAGGTTGGTATTAAAACTTACATAGTACCACACAAAATGTTTAATGAGAAAATTGAGGTTTGTCTGCTACAACCACCAGAGAATAGATATTTACATCTTAAATTAAAAATTTACAAATGTGTGTGTAAATATTTTCGTCCAAAATGAGTGGTTTCAAAAAGCTAAATCGGAGAATTTCTTCAAGAACATTTCTGATGCACACATGCTGAATTACATTCACAAAATACAAAAAAAAGAAAAAAATTTAATTAAAAAGAGCAGCATACACGATTATTTTTGTATTTAAATAAATATTTTCTTAAATGCAAAACCCGAGAAAATAATTTTTTTCTCCACCGTTAGTATGTTAAATTTCACAGAAACGAAGAAATTAGGTTTCTATAAACGAGAAAAGTATTTTAAGCCCATATAGATTTTTTATGAAAATTGTCCGCAAAAAAAATTTCAACTAATATATTTTAGGCCGCGGGCCACAAAAAAAGGCTTTGCGGGCCGGATACGACCCCTGGGCTGCCAGTTAGAAACTGCTGGTTTAGAGGTACCTTCACAAATTCAACGTTAGGAAAAACGGTAGTTTTACAAATTCAACTTTAGGAAAAACGGTAGTTTCACAGAATACTTTTTCTTTAAATTTAATTTTTGTATCCCTTAAGAAACGATAAATCCATATTTTTGTGTTGAATTTTTAATATAATTTTTAATTTTTCACAAATTATGTCTAAATTTTCATGAAATAGGTACCTTTCAGAAAAACCTAGACAGATCCCTGAATGTTATTTAGGATGAATTTATTAAATGAATTTTGTAAAAATGAATAAGCATTTAATAGTAGCTCAATTAATTACTTAAAGAACTTGTATGCCATGTTTTTGGACAAATTTAAATTTAGACCACTTCTGTAACAGACTAATAAGTTTATTTTTTCATGCATTTAGACTATATTTCTCCTTTTGTTAACAGAGATAAGCTAATCACAAACTCCCCTACTTTCACAAGATTACATAAGCAGGGTTATATTTACATATGTTGTTTTTAAAATGTAATTTATTTATTTTTTTTGTCAAAATGTTATTTTAAAATTTTTTTTAAAAAGGTTTTTTCCTTCTGATTATGAGAATTTAGTTTCTTATGTAAGCATTGCTTATAATTCCGTTTTTCTCCATTAAATGTTTATGAAATATTTGAACTTGTTTTAAATATTTATAATTTGTTAACATTCCTTTTCAGCTTGAAAATAAAATTATTTTTCTATATAATTACAATATTAATTTCAGCAACATCAAGCATTATTTTACTTTTAACTGAGTAATTAAGTTCAGTGCTAAAACTTCATAATTATTACGAGTTTTTCTTGGCTTTTGTAAGTTTACTTTTTGCCGAATGTTTTATTTTTAAAATGATTTTATTATTATTGAATCTGATGTGAAATGTTTTTATGAATTTATTTATTATACCCATATCTGAATAGTTCAATAAAATGTATATTTTTAATTGTTATGTAGTAGTATAGATGTGGGTTGGGTAAATACCCAGTGGATAGGATATTTATAAATGGATATTTACCTTTGCCTAGGGCAAATACCCATAATATGGATTTTGATAACCTTTTGTTCTTTTTAAAGCATATAACCATGATTCTTTTTGCTTATAATTCTGAAAATTAAATTAAACTTTAATTTTTTAGTAAAAATATAATCTAAAGCATAAACTATTTACTATTCATGTGTGTGTATCTTTAAAAATGGGTAACACAGTATGGGCAATACAGTATACTGTATAATTTTGACCGGCTTTAGATTAAAAAAAAAACTGAAATTTTAGGAAAGTTCTAAGGACAATTTCCAAAATAATTTCCAAACTCAATTAGAATCACTGTGTGGATGGAAATAGATTTATATTATTTTTATTTAAAAACATCTTTATTTATAAATTTTTCTTTTGTAGAATTGAATAGGCCTAAACACCTGCTAATATTCATCAATCCATATGGAGGAAAAAAGAGAGGCATCAAAATATATGAGAGAAAAGTTTTACCCATTCTTCATCTTGCTGGTGTTGATGCACATGCTGTTGGTTAGTTGATCTATTTTCTAATTTTAAAGAGAAATAAATATTTGTTTTTGTATTTTTTTTCTTCAGAAGTATGTTTAGTTGCAATCACTTTGGATTGTCAAGGCTCTACTATATTGTAATTTTTTTCTTAGACAAATATAGTCTGTCTATCTAAAGAACTCCCCTTCCACTGCCGCAGAGTCTAGGCTTGATATGGAAACTAGAAAGAGCATATTTTGGGAGAGAAGAGCTTTTTATACTTACTAATAATACTTTAATACTATGCTGATCCCTGAACCTGAGAAAACTTGTCTCAAATATTATCCCACACTCCTACTCCAAATATTTCATCCTTGTAACCATACTCACTGACAGTATTACAGATGACTGATAAGAGGATTTCTTTAGTTAGATAGATTGTACAGTAGAGTCTCTTTATATACATATGTATTTTTACCATCCCATTATACATTTGTGTACTTGTTAGGGTCGACAAAAATCATGACTTTCTTCTCAAAAGAAAAAGTATTTTTATTTTAATCAGCTTTTTTTTTTTATATATCTTGAATCATATACTTTTGATTCCCTATGCCAGTCAAAGCTTAGATGAAATTTATAAGTAATGCCTAATATTGTTTAAAGAAACAATATTATAAGTACAGTATATTTAATATTGCTAACTAATATTGCCAAAATAATTATATAATTATTGCAAACTAACTACTGAAAAAAATAAAGCATAATTGTTTTCAATCAAGGATTTTATTTTCATGAATGTGTAAAGACAAATATGAAATTTATTAGTTGGATATCAAATGAAGAATAAATTTGTCTAGATCAAGAGACATAAAAGTATCAATTATTCTAAATTACTCTTGGATAAGAAAAGTCTTACCTTATTAATTAAATACACAAGTTACATTGTTTATAAGTTTGAAAAGTATTTGTTAAGTCTAAATCGTTACAATTGAAGTATGCTTGTTAAATAGCAAATACATACTTGGAAAGTTGTAATTTAGAAATTCCATATCACTATAATCCACATTTAGCGTTTNGCTTGATATGGAAACTAGAAAGAACATATTTTGGGAGAGAAGATTTTTTTATACTTACTAATAATACTTTAATACTATGCTGACCCCTGAACCTGAGAAAACTTGTCTCAAATGTTTATCCCACACTCCTACTCCAAATATGTCACCCTTGTAACCATACTCACCGACAGTATTACAGATGACTGATAAGATGATTTCTTTAGTTAGATAGATTGTACAGTAGAGTCTCTATATATACATATGTATTTTTACCATCCCATTATACATTTGTGTACTGGTTAGGGTCGACAAAAATCATGACTTTCTTCTTAAAAGAAAAAGTATTTTTATTTTAATCAGCTTTTTTCTTATATATCTTGAATCATATACTTTTGATTCCCTATACCAGTCAAAGCTTAGATGAAATTTATAAGTAATGCCTAATATTGTTTAAAGAAACAATATTATAAGTACAGTATATTTAATATTCCTAACTAAAACTGCTAAAATAATTATTGCAAACTAATCACTGAAAAAATTAAATCATAATTATTTTCAGGAATTTGTAAAGACAAATATGAAATTTGTTAGTTAGATATCAAATGAAGAATAAATCTGTCTAGATCAAGAGACATAAAAGTATCAATTATTCTAAATTACTCTTGGATAAGATAAGTCTTACCTTATTAATTATATACACAAGCTACATTGTTTATAAGTTTGAAAAGTATTTGTTAAGTCTAATTTGTTACAATTGAAGTATGCTTGTTAATAACAAATACATACTTGGAAAGTTGCAATTTAAAAATTCCATATCACTATAACCCACATTTAGCTTTTTTTAAATTTTATTTTTAGTTTATTAGTTCAGATTTATTTTTAGTTTATTTTGAACATTAAATAATGATTTATATGCATTACTCTCTAGCATTATTTTGCTGCATAAGACCTACTATATCAATGAAATCAGATAAAAAAAAATTATAAACTTAATTATTTATTTATAAATTATTATAAATAAAAATATTTTGATTTAAATTAATGATTTAAAAAAAATCAGATGATTTAAATTTGGTTCCAGTTGAAAAATTTGCTTTAGAGAAAATTTCCTTGTATGGAAGTTCAGAGATTTGTGCAAATATTTAAATCTTACAAAATTTATACTTGGTATAATAAGTTCAATTTTTTGTATTTATGACTTTTAATTTAAAAAAAGGTGTACCATGTATTATAAAGCAGTGTTTGACTGGAATGATTTTTATTCTCATAGAATTTTGTTATTCGGAAAGAAACAGGCACACTAAGATAGAATGAATGGTATGAGTCGTGATGTACAGAGCCTCTTAACTGTTTTGCTTTTTGTATAAATATTTGTTTTTTATTTTGATGTTTGAAGTCAGGAAAAAGGTTCAACCTAGTTTGACCAGATCTGTTTTGTAGCAAACTCTGGTTGTTGACTATATGCTTGGTTAACAGTTAACTTCACTAAGGCACAAAATGAGAAGATGATTAGATGTTCATTGGTTGCCAAGAAATTCCAACTTTCTTCAAAAATAATGAAATTTAAAAAAGGCAAACATTGGAAAAATTCCAAAACTGAAGAAATTCAAAAAGATATTTGTCTGAAAAATACCTAAAATGATGAAAATTGTAAATAAACATTGGAAATAAATATGATAAATTATTAATATTATATAAAGATAACTATCTGGAAAATTCATTATAGGGAAACAACCACTTTGTTGTATGAATACTATTTTGAATGTTATGATTAAAAATTTTCATCGTAGGGAGATATTTGGTGCAGAAAAACTTTGTTCTTTCATTGAGACTTTGCTAAATATATAATAATAATTAATAAATTTTAGTTGCAAGAAAATATATCTGTTCTAAATTTATTATGATATTTAACTATGATTAGAACAAAATTTAAGGGAAGAATATTTTATTAAGATAGAAATATTTAAAAGCTAGTATATTTGTTAAAATTGTTATTTTATTTGAAATATTACCATTTTAAAGTTCTTGATAAAATAAAAACTTCATTTGATCAAAAAACATTAAGATAGATAAGGTCACTAGAAAAGGCATCTTTCAAAGTGCCTTCTATATCTTAGTCCTGGACTCAAATGCCCGTCATTACAGTGAACTTGTTACTATAGTTTTGCTTCATCATTGGGAAATTGCTAATGCTCTATCCTATTTTGGTTTTTAAACTCATTTTATGTTTTGAGGCCTATAAAAAAAATTAAAATCCCTTAAAGATTCACTCAGTATTGATAATCACTAAGGCATCTAATACATAATTTGTCATTGCGATTTTGGCTACATCGGAGAAGCCAGACGTCTTCAAAATTTGGATTAAAGGAATGTCATAGATATGTTTTCACAAAAAATTCGATAAATCATCTCTTATCCCACATTGTTGAAATATTAGGCATAAATTTTGATATTGCCAAAACTCTTTGTCCCTATGTCACATCAGTTTATCTTGATCACCTAGAACTTTGTTTCATTCATATGAATGTTAATTCCCTTGTTAACAACCTAAGTTTCTCACCACCTCTGTAGTGCATAGAAATGCATTTTGACCATTGTGGTTTTTCTTGTTTTGTTTTTTCAACTTTATTTATTTTTCATTTTGTGTATCACCATTATTTAAATTCTACTTTTTATTGGCAACTTTATGCTTTCTGTTTCAAATCTCTTTTGTTTTCTTCACGTTTGGAGAGTAGTGAGAATGTCAGTGCCTATATTTGACCATTTGAAACCTATAGACTTTTTCTATACGTTGTGCTCAAAAGCTATTGACTTTTCGAATGCTATAGACTTTTGTATCTTAAAATTCATTAACTATAGGTTTCAAAAAATATAAATATAAAAATATATATAAATGAAGCAAATGAAGTTCTTATTTTATCATGCTTTTGGGATTATTCATTTAAAAATTTAGAGTTAATTTTTTTTGGAAACTATCTTCAAAAATTTCAGAAATCTCAACAATAATACTTTTCTTATTTTATAAACATAAACAAGTGATAATATTATTTAAACTTTTTATGTTTAGTTACCCAACGACCAAATCATGCCAAGGAAATGATTGCTGATATTGATATTTTGAAATATGATGGGTAAGCTACAATTTTATTTTCATGAAATACGTGTTTTTTATGCATGTTCCAGAAAAATTAATATTTTTTTCTGAGAAATTATGCATATTTAAATGAATTTTAAGATACAGAAAGTTCAGAAATTATATGAGACTGCTTATTTAGTTTAAACTTTTTTATTAGGATACTATGTGTCGGCGGAGACGGGATGTTCAGTGAAATTTTGAACAGTGTTCTCCTGAAGACACAAAAGGAAAAAGGAATAGAGATGGACGACATGTACAATCCACTGGTGGTGCCCAGAATACCTCTTGGTATTATTCCTGCTGGTTCCACAAATGCTGCTGTCAATTCCATAACAGGATCTTCGGATCCACTATCTGCAACCCTCTTGGTAGTAATGGGTGAGTTAATACTACTTATTAGTATAATTTCATGAATTAAATAACATCACTTAAAAATTGCTGATTTTTTTTAATACTGACAAACTATCTTTAAAAATTAATAAGCAAATGTAACAATGGATGACCTTTGTTTTGTTTTGCGTTTACTTACTATCAAAGCTTAAAATTAATGGTCGGCTGTTAGCCTGGGACCACTAAAATTTGACTTAGACCACTAAAAAATATAATTTCCACAGGAACCCTGTTAAAACCACGAAAAAACATCTGTACACCACGCGACTAGATTAATTTTTTAGGTGGGTGTCTGGATACTTTTGGCCGGATAGTATTGATAAAAAGCATTTTTGAATGAACTTAAGAGTTAGAGTAAAATTGCATTGTATTACTTTAAATATAACTTATGAATTTTAGTACTTTTTGTCACATGTCAAAAAATTGTCAGGTCAAACCGTAAAAATCACTGACCAGATTCATTTCATTACGTAGGTGTACAGATACTTCTGACCAGATAGTATAGTTGAAGTAATAGAAAATATTAGAATAATAAATGTATGCAATATGTCTGTACATAAGCATTGTGTCCTTTTTGCTTATTTTTTTGTTGCTGCTTTCTTTATTAAAGGCACTAATTTTAAAAATGATTGTACTAGCATACTTATATTTCTTCTATGCTAGAGGAATTCTTCTATTGTGGACTATATTTGTCAACCTTAAATGCATATGACATAATTAGTTTTTTTTTTAAATAATAATTAACAATTAGATAGAAACTATCTTTTTGAAACAATGAATACTTTTAAAATACCTTCAAAACTCATTAAATTGACGAGACTTACATGGAAAGATACAAAGTGTAAGATTAAGTTTCTGGAGTCTCTGTCAGAAAATCTTGACATGTTTACAGGTGTTCAACAGGGAGATTTTCTGTCCTGTCTTCTTTTTAATATTGCACTTGAGAGAGTTATTCGTGATTCAAACATCAATACCAGTGGTCACATTTTTACTAGATCAGTACAACTACTTGCATATGCTGATGATGTCGATATAATTGCACCTTGCCCTTGAGGTGGCTGAAAGGCAAACGGGCTTAGTCATAAATGTGGAGAAAACAAAATATATGTTTTTCTCAAGAAACAGAGTCCCAGACCTCTATCTTGAAATAAATTCTTATAGATTTGAAACAGTATAGAGTTTTACTTACTTAGGATCAATTATTACCATTGACAACAGAATTACTCCTGAAATAAAAAACCGACTCTATCTGGCAAATAGGGCTGTCTATGGGCTGAGAAGATTCATTAAATCTGGGTTTCTTTCTAGAGAAACGAAGTTCTTAATCTACAAAACTCTTGTCCGGCCAGTCTTGACATACGCTTCTGAAGCTTAGACAATGACAAAACAGGAGGAAAATTGTATCGCAGCATTTGAGAGAAAGATTTTGCGGAGTGGTGGTGTAAATGAAAGCAATGACTAGAGAAGGTATTATTAAATACATAAAAATAAATATAATGAATTGGATGGCTCACGTAATTTGAATGAGGGATGACATTACAATAAAAAAGATACTGCTTTTTAGACCCACTGGAACAAGAAAGCGGGGAAGGCCGCGGTTGAGATGGGCTGACTCAGTGGAGTCTGATTTTCTTGCAATTAATGAAAAAAATTGGAGATCAAAGATAAATTGGAAGTCGACGTGGAGAAATCTTTAGAGGAAGGCATTGGCTCATATTGGGCTGTCTGGCTACTATGATGATGATGATGAATTAACAATTAGAAACATAACTCTTATTTAAATTGATTTCACTTTTTTTAAATTTAGAAATCAATTCTGTTCAAAATATCATCTTATTTTTTTTTTTTAGCAAAAGCCAGTTTTTCTAAATGGTTACGTTCTCTATGGTTAAAAATGAAGAAAGTGTTTGGAATAAATTTATTTTTTTCATTATATTTAATTTCTTATGAATACTTATATGGATACAGTAGATGATCTTTTTAATGTAAACATATCATTAAACATACGTTTTAAACGTCTTAGTACGTACCTGTTACTGATCAATATTTAGATGTTTTAGAATGATTTTTAGAACCAAATTGCTTTAAAAGACAAAAACATGCACTTAAGTGCTTCTTATTTACCAAAAGAAAAGAAAAACTGAAATTATTCAGAGCAATAAAACTAACGAGAAAAACATTTATCTAGTTTGGTTTGCTGTAGAGATCATAACCTCTTACAAAATGCTTGAAAAAAGATACAAAACTATTACAAGTCCAGTCCTGACTTATGATTCAAAGACTTGGACTCTGCCAGAGAAAGAAGAGTTTAATATTGCCATCTGTGAAAGAAAGATCTGTGAGTCAAACAGGGCAATTTCTACGGAACTTAGAACAATACAGAAATTAGCAAATTTTATAAAGACATTAATGTAATAAAATTTATAAGTTAAACAGAATGAAATTTGCAAGACACATTTGCTATTCAAATACATCTAGTCTGACACAACAAATAATCAAACTAAAACAATTAGTAGCAGATATAAATTGCATCTGAAACTTTGATGTATAGCCTCCATTTATGCATATTTTAAAACACTTCAGTTATTTAACTGGCAACAAGGAGAATAATAGGGAGAAATGTTCTAGAGAAGGCCATGTCCAATCCAGAGCTGCTGTGCCAATAATGATAACGAACCTCTTAACAAATAATTTTTCTTGTGTTTTCTTTCTTAACAAATAATTTTTCTTAACAAAAAATTTTTCAATACGATTTGCAAAGTTAATGTGGTTTATGGACAATCACAGTTTATAAAATTGCATTATACAGATTTTCTGTATGAATGTTTAATAGCCACTATTAATGTATTTTTGGCTTGTTAATTTACAGCAATATTTTACTTTTGTATTTAAAAGTGTTGGAAATGATTTAAATAATTTTTACTTAACTATTTTTTTTCAGGTGATATCACAGGCATTGATCTTTGTGGAGTGTACAGTGCTGGACGCTTCCTCAATTTTGCTATTACTTTTCTATCTTACGGATATTTTGGTGACATTATTAAAGAAAGTGAGAAACTTAGGTGGATGGGACCAAAGCGTTATGATTATGCTGGTATATTTTCTTCACTTACCCAGTATTATTTGATTCCAATTTTTCTGTGCTATTTCTATTTTACTGTCTTTTATATTGTTCCAAAACGTTAAAATAATTAAAATATAATTTTAAAAAAATATATAGTTATGTTGTAGGTTTGTAAACTGAATTTATTCATGTTCTACAGTTTAAGATATATAATAGCATTAGTATTACTGAAAATTGAAAAATAGAAAATGATTGAAAAGTTTCAGTTAAAAAAAAAAAAAAAAAAAGCATTATAAATTATTCCCTCACTTCCTATTCCCTAACTCACAAAGCATTATAAATTATTCCCTTAATGTCTCCCAAATTGTGACTCTTGCTTTTATGTGTATATCTATATTTTTTTCATCTTTTAATCTTTTGTTAAAAAAATAATTCAAATATTATATTTTTAAATAATTTAAATTTTTACAATTAAAAAAATCATTATGTTCTTAATGTATTAATAGAAATATACTTTTTTTAAAATTTATTTTCATTCAGCATGTGTTTGTTTTTATCAGGTTTAAAGAGGATACTATGCCAAAAGGTTTATGAAGGAGAGTTACAACTTCTTGTAGATGTTCCTACCAATCAAGCATTAATGAAAAATGATAGATGCTGTGTTGAGTAAGTATTCAGTTGTGGTAACTTACTGAGAGGTGCCAACTAATACAATTTATTTGTAATTTGATATCTGCAAGTGACGTAGTGTGAGCATCTCTGTCTTGATTGGCTGTTGAAATGTAGCATTTGTTTATGTTAGCAACAGTTCTTTCCATTCTATTTCGAGTAAGCCAAGTTTGTTAAGTATCAATTCTCTTTAGTGACATATTCTGTATTCTTTCACAAAGATTTCACTTTTACTATATATTTCTCACTTAACACAAAGATAGGCACAAAACCATATAGAGCATAAACAAACTAAGTATGCTTTCAAGTTGCCAGGTACACAAAACAAACATATCATGATTTCATTAAAATACATGAACAAATAATAAATCTAGGTTAAGTAAAAGTCGTAGACCAAAAAGAATTATATTTTAGCAAATTCGATGTGCACTAGGACATTATATTTAACTTCACATTAATTAACAATCTAACTTATATGGAGAAATTAGCTGACCTTTAATACGCCATCTTGTTTATAAACTATCAACTAGTTCTAAGGTCATAGACTCACGTGTCTGTGTAACAGTGAGCATCTTCTTCTGGAGTTGCAAGTACCTAATTATTAAAATCTGTCCATAATTGTTACAATTATTTCGTAATGATTACGATTTTATAGTCTAGATTACTATCTTACAGTTGAGTATTAAAAATTATAGAATTTTCATAATAATCAGTTTAATCTAAAAATTTCCCCCCTTAACTACCAAAAGTTATGAAATTTTGTTGTTTGCTACTAAACTAAATTTTTTTCTTCTTTATCTTAAATAATTCTAAAGACAATAATTTAAAAGCATAAGCAATTTGATAGAAACAAGTAAGAACAACGAAAGCTTATCCTTCTCTCTTTCAACAAACTATTTTGAAACTTAACTCTTTAACAAACTAATTTGAAACTCTCCTTATAGAAAAGCAAAATAACACAAAATGAAATCCGAAATGCTGTGAGCAAAATTTTTAGTGGTTTAAATTCAAGATTATAAGAATGCAATAAAGGGGCTAGTTCTCTGATTTAACCCAAAACTAGAACAACATTGAGTTCAAGTAATCAATTTATATTTTATTATTTTATAATGCTGTATAAAATGTCAGTGTTGTATAATTTTCAATTTAATACCTTTATCTAAATGTTACTTTGCTTTATTCCNAACAGATAACCGTTTAAACGGGGAAGTTTAACATTAGTTAAATATAAAATGATTTGGTTCCATTAAATTTTATTCGTATAAGCGGGTTATTCGATTATCCAAGGGGCGAATAAGTGGGGACGACTGTACTATGTACCTATATAGAATTAAGAAAAAAATGTCTTAAAATTATGTTAATTTAAATTTTATAAATGCTAATTTTATATATTTCTGTGTTATTGTACTTCTGATTTCTACTAACTAATTTGGAAAGTTGGCACTTCTGTTTGTATTTCTAATATCCAATTATTTACTTATTATAACATTTAACTTCTGATTTCTACTAACTAATTTGGAAAGTTGGCACTTCTGTTTGTATTTCTAATATCCAATTATTTACTTATTATAAAATTTTAAATATTCTATGTTCTTAACCATTTTTAATTTCCTATTCACTTATGACGTATGTTTTAAATAATTATTTGGTTGTAGTAATTCATATTTTTAACATTCTATAAATTTTGTAATTGTTAAATTCTTAAGAGCAATAACTGGTAATTTCCTACTCACTCAAATCTTAAGCAAGACTGAAATAAGTATTTTTTCTTTAAATTTTTATATGTAACATAATTAATTTTAACTTGATTCATATTAAATAAGTAGCATTATTCTTATTTTTCTTTCTATTAATATTGAAAATTAATTAATTTTAACTTGATTTATTTTAATAAGTAGCATTGTTCTTATTTTCTTCTCTATTGATATTGAAAATTTTCCTTACTTTTTTTTAAGTTGTGGAACGTGTAGAAATGCTACTCATCTGCCTCGATCTGACGGTGAAAGTATGAAAAAAATTAGTAAGTATTTGGTTTTCTTTTAATGTATATATATCAGCACATGTACTAAGGATTTCATATTTTTAACCTGTAAACTAGCCAACTATTAAAAATATTCGCCAGTTTTCGAAAGTCTTTGCCAAATGCAAATCATAAAAATTTTTTGTGGATTCATTTTTTTCCTATCGAAAACTATTTCACGGTAATTTGTTTCAGGCATAAATTATTTGTATCCAATTCTAACTGGTTATGTGGCGCATCTACCGAAAATTACTGTAATCGAATAAAAAATACTGATTTGTTTAGAAAAAATTTTTTTGACATAATTTTGAGGATCGAGTTAACTATATATTTTTCTTCCCAGTGAAAAAAATCATTCGCCGAAACTAAATTTGAGATTTTATTGCATTTGGTGAGGTGTATTTAATGTTGGCCCTGAATATATATGTATGTATCTTACTAAGTAGACGTTTTTTGTTGTTGTTTCTAATCCCCAAGAGGTCCGTCAAATTAGACCAAATCCATAAGTCCAAAAATGTCCAGAAAGTCTAAAAACAGATGAGGTTTTGAAAAAACCTCGTCAATCTTAAAATCGATACAGTTTAAAATATGCTGGGGCGAAGCCTGAGCAGTCCTACATTTAGTGCAAAGTCCAAAAGTCTTTTGCCCCTGAACATACGAGAGACACCTCAAGTGACCACTTGCAAAGCGAGATAAACAAGTCTGCTGGCTTCTAGGTCCCTCAAAAAGCAAGGCACTTCCAGGTCGTTTTCTGAAATACCAACTATGCGGAGGAGGAACCCTCCAGAGGTCCATAAACATTTTTTTGCACTCTGAAAAGACCTCGTTGAAAGTGGAAGGTAGATCTGGCTGTAGAGGTTCCAAAGAAGCATCTTTAGCCAGTGAGTCCGCCATCTCGTTACCTTTGATTCCAACGTGTGATGGAATCCATTGGAAGTGTACNTTTGTTGTTGTTTCTAATCCCCAAGAGGTCCATCCCAATTAGACCAATTCCATAAGTCCAAAAATGTCCAGGAAGTCTAAAAACAGATGAGGTTTTGAAAAAACCTCGTCAATCTTAAAATCTACACAGTTTAAAATATGCTTGGGCGAAGCCTGAGCAGTCCTACATTTAGTGCAAAGTCCAAAAGTCTTTCGCCCCTGAACATACAAGAAACACCTCAAGTGACCACTGGCAAAGCGAGAGAAGCAAGTCTGCTGGCTTCTAAGTCCCTCAAAAGCAAGGCACCTCCAGGACGTTTTCTGAAATACCAACTATGCAGAGGAGGATCCCTCCAGAGGTCCATAAACATTTTTTTACACTTAGCAAAGACCTCATTGAAAGTGGAAGGCATAACTGACTGTAAAGGTTCCAAAGAAGCGTCTTTAGCCAGTGAGTCCGCCATCTCGCTACCTTTGATTCCAACGTGTGACGGGATCAACTGGAAGTGTACCCCAAAGTCCGCTGAGAGCCTGAAGAGCATCCCCAAAATTGAAACCACAGCCCTGTCTCCAACATTCATCCAGTTGCTTAGGTGTTGAATTGAAGATTTGCTATCCGTCAGTATCCAAATATGCTTAAAGTCATGCTCAGCAATATTATCAACATATCTTAGGCCATTTTCAATCGCAATAAGCTCAGATCTGAAAACCGAGCAAAATTCAGAATTTCTAAATTTGAGACTCAATGTGTATGTGGGTGTTTTAATAAAAAACCCACTGCCTGAATGACCTTCGTCGCTCTAGCTGCCATCTGTGTATAGAAGTTTTTTAATTGGATGTAATTATGAATTTTTTTGAGCGAATGTTATTAGTTATTTTATTTTGATTAGACTTTTATGGTTTGTTGGTATTGTAAGGTAGGGTGAAACAAAGTCTTTTCATTATTTCACTGATGTTTACCGAATAAAAAAATATATATTTAATCTGTGATCTAAATTCCATCATTTCAAATTTGTTGATGTCATAGGGTTTATTTTTGTAGTTTTTTTTATACATATTTATCAAGCAATCCATTAAGCAAATGCTTATTTTGATATTTATATCCTTGAAGAAAGCTTAACCAAAAATTTCTTCTTTTTTTTTCTAAAGAGTTATCTATTTCATAAAATATGAAAAGATTAATTTAAATTCAATCTTCAAATATTTTGTTAAAATTTCTTTTACTATAGTTTATTATTATTTTACTTTTTTGGTAGCTTTTAATTTTTAATAATCGTAATTTCCTTCTTTTTAAATTTAAGAATTGCATTAAGGATGGGTCTGAAATTAATGTTGGATTATAAAAGCTATCAAATTATATGCACAATTCAAAAATAAAATGATAAATTTATAAACTTAAAAAAACTGTGAAAATAAAAAAAATTGCTTCCAATCATCACTTGGTAAAAGTTAATTTGTTTATTGTTTTTCACTTTTTAATTAGGTACACTTTTGTTATTTGTTGGAAAAAAAGCACTTTTTCAATTTACATATTGTATCATTTAGTTCAACTGTGATATAATAGATCACCAATTCGTAATTTTTTTCAGCTATGGAACCCTAAATGATTAAACTTCTTTTGGCAGAACCCTAATTTTATGACTGAAATTTATTTGCAATTGTGAATTAACTTAAGAATCTAAAAAGAGTACTAATTAATTTGAAAAAATTGAATAGGCAGAATGAATTTTTTTATTGTTTTATTAATTTTACAGTCTTAAAGTTAGGCTTTATGCCAGGCAGTTGAATTCACAAGTCTCGAGTAGCTTCTGGTCTTCCTCTTAATTTAGTTTTGACAAATGCATAACATGTAATTGAATAAAATTAACTGAATTATGGTTTTCAAAAAAGAACTGCTATGAACAGTGAGATTGATTTCTTGAGTTTGATTATTTTATTTTGAATTGAAAAATTTGATGAGAAAAATTGATGCAATTATTTGTAAATTTATATGGCTTTCGTAATTTATTCTTTTTTTAAAAAAAAAAAAAAATTGGAAAAAATATATACATATTTAAATTTTGTGATTTCTTTTGTAATTGACATTTATATAAATATGTTCACAAAAGTAACTGAATTATTAAAAAGAGTATAGATAATTTGTAGAATACAAACATAGTTACAGGCTAAAAAAGAGTCCTAAATCTCAAAAACTTGGTGGTCTCAACTTCTGATCCAGTTACTTCTGATTGTTCACAAAGAGTCCTAATTGATTTGTAAGGCACATTATAATTTAAAAATTAAAATATTTTGCATCATTGTTTAAATTTAATTTTAGCTCCCTTTTGATAATTTATGTAAGAAAGCTTCATTTGAAAAACTAGAATGAATAATTAGTAAATAAAGAAAGCTGGTCACGCTCACAACTTTAGTCACATATATAACACACATATAGTCACATATATATATATAACAACATTTTCCCTTTAAAAAAAAAAATCTGGTATCTTTTTTTCAGGATGGGGAGACAAGAAAAAAAAAGAGTTGTATTTTTCATTTAATCTTTTACATTTAATTAGTGTGTAATTAAAATGCTTAAATAGTTTGGTTTAGACATGTGGGAACTCAAGGACAAACTTAGGAAATTTTGCTACTGGCAGTAGCTAGTGGTAGCACTTTTAACAGTGGTATTTTTTTTTAAAAAATCATGTGGCCATTGCTTAAAAAATTGAAATATTTTAAATGATTATAAAAACTATATTATTAAGCATATAATATTTTCTAAAATATTAAGCATTTCTTTTTTAAACATTTTTTAAAATTTGGTAAACATTACAAGGTTTCTTTCTTAAATGAAGAAAAAGTTTAAGAAAAAAATAAAGTAATTTTTAGAATATTATAAAAAAATTTCTTAATTCCATATTTGTTGAAAGATAATAATAAAATGCTCATGGGCTGCAATTTCAATGAAAAATTTGGTGATTGAGTGGCGACTAGCAGACAATTTTTTAATCGCTATTTCTCATATTTGTCTGTCCGTTAGCTAGAGGTGACTGTTAATTTTGACTTGATGTACTATAAATATTCAAAAATGTTTCATTCTGTTGTATTTGTTTCTTTGTAGGATGGCTCTCATTGCGTGGCAGGTTCATAGCAGTGAATTCAGCCATCATTAGTTGTTCCTGTGTCATGTCTCCCAAAGGAATCTCACCCTCTCAACATTTGGGCAACGGTTACACTGATGTCATTGTTGTTAAGAAATGCTCTCGTTTAAACTATCTGCGCTACCTCCTCAGAACATCCTATCATCATTCAGATCCAGTAAGGAAACTTTTTATAATTTAAATCATTCTCTTTGTCAATTCAGTCTCATTTAATTACTCCTGGGGCTAGCATTTTGTCTGGAAACCTATTTCTACCAGGAAATTAGAATAAACTTTATATATATATATAATAATAATAAAAATTTAAAAAACTGGATAAAACTAACAATAATCAATACAATTGTTTAACAAAAAGTATTATAAGAACAGCTTAAATTTACACACAGGGCTGTCATTGGCAACTAAGTATCCCGACGACTAAAAGGACTATTTTTTAGAAAATGAGACAATGGGGACTATTTTCCTTAAAATATAGGTTGAAACAGCTATTTTGCAATGAGTTGTGAAAAATAGGCTTTCTTTTTCATTTTATTTTTTTAAACCATGTATCCACCTTAAAAGTATAAATTCGTGATTTTTTTTCCTCACCAGGAATAAGAAACAGACAAGGGAGGATCATCATGCATCTTCTTCAAGCGTTGGTTTTTAATAGTTTACCACTTTATGAAATAGTTTTCAAAAAAATATGGCACCTTTGCTGCATGTCTGAATTATCACAACAAAAGATATAATCTTTGGACCTGTTGTTGTTTGGTTTTGACAGTTGCATATTCATTTAAAATGTCTAAAATTTATTCAGTTCAACATTATAAAAAAGTATTGTTGGAATTGGTTAGGATTTTTTCTGTCCTTGTGAACATGATCTTTAGTTAATACGAGAGTCCTGAGCATGTTTTATTAAAGTTGCAAAATATTAAAAACTGTTTAAAAATAATAAAGGATACGTTTGGGTATGATATCTGGTGATGTTCCATTCATGAAATATGACATTTTAAATATCTTTTTAGTTTAACCATACTTTTATTCTTGTAATTTTGACTGATCACTGGCCATTTATTCCTATAGTGGTCATATTTTAGTTAGAAAACTATTAAGTTCAGATCACTGCCACAATGAAGTCTAACAAGATCAGGTTTTTTCATTGAGTTTAACTTTTTTGATTTATCAGTATTACTTTATTCTGTTTGGATGTAGTTTTTTTTAAAAAAAAATTTTGATAAGTATTTCAACTTATACTTTTTAAAATATTTCTTCCTATTACAGTGATTTTTCTAATTGTCAATATTAAAAAGAAATTGTCCTTATTTCTTTCTTCCTTTCCCTGAGAAGGTCATTTTGTAAATATGCACTAAGTCCATTTATACGCTATAACGCTCCAACAATATTTTTAGTGGCAAAATTATAACTAAACTTTAAATGCATATAAAAAATTATTTTTATTTGTTAATAATAGCTGGAGGTGTAAGTTTGGATAATTCTGAAAAATGATAAATTCAATAAAATTACATCATTACTTTTACTTGATGCTGGTGTTTGATAAGCTCTAATTAAAAACATTTGATTGTTCAAATATTACTCTTCTTCTTTTGAAATTCTTTGTTTTGAATTATCAAAAGTTAGAATAATTATGAATGTGAATATTAATACATGGATGGATAAAAAGGGAAAGAATTCATATTTTTACTAGGAATCTGGTTGAATAAAAAGGATTCCAGAATTCTGGAAATCCTGGGTTCTATGGACTCGTTGATTTCAAACTATTGCAGATTCACTGAATATGCAACGAGTAATGTTTCCATGTTTATTATTATTGTGTGTGTCTTAAATTATTGTTGTGTGTGTCTTAAATTATTACTTGTCATCCTGTGTATGATCACGGATACACCAAGAATATGCTTTTGAGTAAGTGCATCTAATGAGAAATTTCTATTCTTAAAACATGATAGGATTACATTTTTTGAACCAATAATTTATTTCAATTTCCATTTATTAATTGATGAAAAATGTATATCAATATAGAAAACAAAGGAAATAAAAATATGACCACCGAACCCGACGTCTTCAGGGAGTACTGGCCTCGGAAGCCATAAAACAAAACCTTTTCTATTGAGAGAGAGGCCAAATTAAAGATTTTGTTTTATGTACCGTACCCCCTGTTATAAATTTATTGTTGTATGTTATTGTACCCCCTGAAGACGTCGGCTTCATTGGTCATGTTTTTATTTCCTTCATTTTCTTTATTGCTATATTTATATTTCTTTTGAAAATACTGCTGCTTTTAAGCGCGTTTCTTTCAAAGATAATTTTGTCAATTTAGAATTAAATATTTTGTATTCTTTTACTATTGATGAAAAAAGTTTAACTTTCTTTTTCTTTCCAGTTCGACTTAGATTTTGTGAAAGTGTACAGAGTGCGAGAGTTCAAGTTTAACCCTTTTGTCACTGATGACAAGACCCCCGCCACAGGCTGTGTAGGTCTGCAGGACGGCTGGCAGGAAATGAACACCAGCGTCTGGAACTGTGATGGAGAAATTATAAATGAGCCTTCTCTCTCTGCTAAGTAAGTCTATAATGGTTGTGCAAATGAAATGACAATGTCATTTGTGTATCTTTGCAAAGTCTATGTTGGATTTTGCCATTTGCCTTCATTCTCCTGGTTTCCCTAAGACCCCCTGGTACCCCCTGGTTTTCATTAAGAGCAATGGCGAAGTGGGTTCCATAATGAACTATACTTGTACTTATTAAAATATATGGGATTCTGATAATTTTATGCTATTATATGGTAAAAATGTTATATATTATTAATCACATATAACATTTTATTTTTAAAAATATGTAAAATATTAAATATATGTTAATATTTCCCCTAAATAGTGAGTTTTCCAGCAGGTGGCGCAGCGTCTCAACTACTGTGTCTGTTTACAAATGTAAGAGCGAGATTTTTAATATGAAACGATTGGGAAGCAGCAATGTACTCGGCTGCTGAAGTAGTTTGTTTTCTTTTATTTCTTAATTAAATTTATTGTTTTATTGTTGAAATCATTCTTAACTTGACTAATCGCCACATAGAAGAGCAAACAGCGATAGAAAGTAAAAGAAGACAACATATATAAATGTATATGTAAAATGTTATATTAATTCATATTTTACCTATAACAATTTATTTGAGACATAAGTAAGTTTTATTTAAAGTAAATAAATTTACATTATTGGCATTTTGAGAACCGATGTTGAATTACTCTTATTGCAGCAAGTTCGGCACTGGCACTTTAGTTTCCTATTTATAATTTCTCGACATAAAATGTCATAATTGATGTTCCTAATATGTGTTACTAAATGTATTTTTAATTATTCTGAGAAATATAAAGCAAAGCAGTATAACGAAAATAATAAAATAAAATAAACTGTTCTTAGGTATTGAATTTTAATTGTTATTTAATTGTGGATTTTATTTTAATGATAGTAAAATGCAAAAAATTTTGTGGAAAAAAAAGTGATTTTGTATTTTTGATATTATTATTACATTTTTAGTCCACCTATAATGAATTATAAATATCATTGTCACATAAATGAGTCCTTTCATGGTAAATATTTCTTGTTTCCAAGTGCATTAAAGTTGTTTAACAACCACAAATAGGTAGGTTTTTTAATTAATAATAGTTATATGTATTTAAAAAAAATATTTCTATTTTTTAAAACTTTGTTCATTTAACTAATTCAATTAAAATGCATACAAAATAAATAATAGTTGAAATTCATAAGAAATGTTAGGCATTAATTTTTTCCGCATGTTTGCCGTCGAAACTAGTGGGCAAGAAATAACAAACATGTTTTTAAAATACCTAAAACTGATTAAGGCTTAATAGACAGCATCGTGCATGTTATAATGCTGGTGCCCTGATAACTGTACTCAATACAGTAAGACTGTACTCAATATTGTAAGACCAAAGATCAGAAGAGAGAGAGAGAGGTTATTTTTCCTTCCTTTAATTTCATTGGTTAGTGTGGTAGATTTAATTTTAGTTTTGAGTGCTAGTTTTATTGTTTGCAATCAAATCATATGGTTATCACTATTTCTCACGAATCATTCTTTATTTTAGAATACATTGTCAACTTTTAAATGTGTTTGGACGTGGTTTTGAAGACCGAAAGACAAATCATTCCTCGTGGTCAGATTGTTTCAAATTCCTGAAGAGAGCTTAAATGAATGATGATAAGTAAACAATGCCTTTAGGCTTTAACAATGACTATATTAAACACTTCCAGTTCTTAAAATGATGTGATATTCACAGGTTTTACATTGTATGGTATTTTTCTGGTTTTATGCACAGTTGTGTTGTTCTTTTTGTTTATCTTCTATCATTCCTTGATTGGTTTATTTGAAAAGTACGTACTGAATAATCCTGTGCTACTTGGTATAGAATTTAAAAGATCTGAACTAAAATTGGAAATTTTATTACGAAACTTTTAAAGAGCTTTATCTTAGGTAAGAACCAATTTTAGTGTTAAATATAACAGTATTGTTAATTATACTTTTTTAGTAAAACTCAGCCGTAATAGAAAACTGCAATTTTAACCTTTTTTTTTTTAAAGTTTCCAACGATGAAGCTAAAATTTAACTGTAGTAAAACCTCTTAAAGGAATTTTTCATAGGAATAAAAGAGAACTTCTTGTATATCAAAACTTTTTTTTCAGGGATATGCTAAACTCTATTTGAAAAAAAAAGCATGTAATATATTGTAAGACTGATATACAGAAGTGTATATTTACTTTAAATTATCATAAACTTAAAAAGTTATACTTATTGAAATTTAATTTAGTTAACTATAAAAAACAAAAGTATGAATTTAATTTAATATGCAGTGCAAAGTCCCATATCCGGACGTCCGTTTACAGGAAGGATCTTTTTACCAAACAATTTTTAACAATCAAAATAAACATAACTTTTTTTCCTTTTGTTTAAAAGAATGGTTTTTTTTCCTTTACATTTGTGACCTGTTAAAAAAATTACTCAGGGATGAGAATCTTCCACTTTTTCGCTTCTTTATAATCTTTAGCCACTTTGCGATTTTTGTTGATTTTAATCCAATATCCGCTAAAGTATAAAAAATAATTGAATATCACGGAAACGAAATCCAGCATTTCACTACTGTGTGAAAAAAATTGCGTATTTTTTCTTATGTCTAACATAAAAGGGTTATTATTGTTAAAAATACACACTAAATTTCAGAATATGATAGAATATTTCAGAATATGATATTGAAATAGAAAGCCGTGATGGCTCAGGGGATAGAGCGTTCGCCTTTCAATGAGGTGAACCGGGTTTGAATCCCAGCGATGGCTGGTCTATACAAATCCGCATCCAACTTGCACCAACCACAGTGCTGACTTGAAATATCCTCAGTGGTAGACGAATTATAGTTTAGAGTCAGACTAACCGTGGGAGGTTCTCTTGGTCTTCCCCATGCCATGCAAATGCAGGTTAGTTCCATCAAAAAATCCCCAACGAAGGCAAATATCTCCCATTATTTGATCCCGGAGTTCCTTTGTCTTCTGGATTAGGTACAAAATTACAGGGCTACAGAGTTGAACATTAGTAGACGTAAACCCCAAAATTGGGTTAGCTGTTCAACGATGGTTATAATAATAAAATTTTCTTCTTCACATTTTAAAAAATTGCGGTTTTGAGATGAATTCAGCATGATTAAAGCTGATTATTGAAAAGCTCGATTTAGAGTTCGCGGATTGTAATAATATTGCGTACAAAAATAAAATCAAAATTTTTAAAAATTATGTAAAATCCCAAACTGTTGAAAATGTGATCAAGGAAACTAAGTGGACAATAAAATCGTCACAAATTAGGTGCATCAAAAAGTAAATTTTCAGATGCGCGATTCCAAATTTTCTGTGTATGATAATGTAGCATTAAAAAACCATGAAAGTCCATAGCAATAACTGACAAAAATGGGATCGCAAATTCACGTGTGATTGCGGGTGAATTTTAAATAATTGAGTGTGAAATGAACGAATCGAAGTTTGTTGATAATCAAGTGGATTGTGAAATTACTGACTGAAATGCATAATTCGTAATTTGGCGTATGTTATATTGGCATATTAAAATATCGAGATTTTAAAATCCATGGGAAAATATATGCAACAAAAGCTGTGAAAATGTGCTCTATTTTTTGGACTTGCCGAAGTCCCGAGGATTTCGGATATGGGACTTTCCACTCTACCTCATTTAACTTTGCTCTTCTAAAAATACCAAGTATATTTCAACATCTTCAAGAGTTTTTTCCCCTTCAAAAACCGAGAGTTTAACACAATTAGTTTTATTTCTAAAGGCTTTCTCATGCTTTTTTTTCTTTTAATTTTCCATGTTTTGAATGGAAAATGTTCAATCTGGGAAAATCTTTTAACTTGGAAAAGTTGAAGTAAAGGAGTTCTTTAAAGGATTATTTTAGTATTGTTGAAATAGGGGATGAAATGATAGTGAAAATCTAAACTTTTTAAGTGGAAAACACTTTTTAAATGGAATTTTTTTTAAAAAGCGAATTTTACTGTATGTATATTACTTTAACATTGTAGTTTATTGAACAACTTTCATTATGTGTTGTGAAGCAATGTGTGTGAATGATGCATTATTTCTATGAGTAAAATTATAAATTTATTAATGTTAGGATTGTGAGAAATACTAGAATATTATTAAAATATTTGTTAATTTACTTTTGGAAGTACAGAGTTATGCCTATAACTATTTGGGTAGCCTAATTTTTTAAATAGCCTAATTTTTTAAGCTGTTGTATTTTATAAATTATAATAAATTGTATGGAATATTTTATAAGTGAATTTTTCTTAATTGTAAGCATTATTTTTCCTTTAAATATGTAAGCATTGTTTTTTCTTTAATTGAATTTTATATCTAAGAGATTGCTGTCTCCCTACTAAATTTAAATGCTTGTATTCATTAGTTACATAAATTAAATCATTTTTCTGGATTTTTGTTAATATGTTCAATATGAATCCAGTTGCTTTAAGGTATCCGACTGGGTAAAAATCAGTAATTTCGATTTTTTTAAAAAAAAATTTTTTAAATATTTATATTTTTGAGACAAATAAAAAAAAATTTCTGAAAATAATTTTCGTACTAATTTTTTTGTTGTCAGAATTTTCTTGCATTTTAAATGCATTTTCTGAAGAATGTTGATTTTGAAAAAAATTCTTTATGCTGACACACATTAAAAAATAAGTTTATCACAGAATTCCTTAAGAATTTGCTTATAGATTTTATATAATGTTAGCAATGTTTTGAACTAAAATCGAAGGTCTAAGTGGGACTTTGTTATTTTTTCAAGCTTTAAGTGAGAGTATTTAGAATTTTTCTTCAAAAATTCAATATTAAACTATACATTTAATTCTGTTTTATTGTTTTTTTTAAATGTTTTTAAGAATTTAGTTTAAAATATATGAATCACATAAATGATCTAGAAAAATTATTCTGAAATTTATGCATTACTATTTGATATCGTGGCGTGATAAATTTGTAGTTTTTATGCTAAAATTTCCCCTTATTTTGAAAATTTTGAATTTATAATTATAGGACCTTTCTGTTAACCAAACATAAAATTAAAATTTTAAGGGGTTTTTTTAAAAAAAAAAAAAATTGGTTCATAACCAGTCGGATACCTTATATGATTTTTAAAAAAAATTTATTTTCGTATTTTAAAGATTAAGTTAGTTGTTTTTGATTAGATAGGCTTTATGGAAAAACTTGTTTGGTCATTGTAAGTGTAGAACATTTATTTTTTCTGGAAAGTTCTTAAATAAAGCCAATACATATTTTATAAACAGTTCCCTGATGTTCCTGTATATTCTAACGCAATTTGTTTGTTCATATTTTAAATTGGCTTTAATTTTAAACTTGTTCAGAAAAAGTAAGTTTTATCTCATTCCATGTTTACTATGCAATTTTAAACAATTGGACATTTCACAATTGGGCAATTTTAAAAAAAATCTCTGCAATGCCTGTCCTTTTCCTTGAATAACGAAAGAGAAAAAAAATTATTTTTAGCAGGAACAAACTGGTGAAGGGACATATTGTTCAGTTGACTAAGTTGATTGTTTAATATTGTTATCTTGATGCATTTATGTGTGACGCAATATTGTGTGTACATTTTAATTATTTATTGTACAGTTTTACTTCTGTTTCTTTTGAAAGTTTGTCTGTGATGATGGGTGTTGTTTAGGGGCTATAAACTTAAAAGTATAGATTAAGAGTGTGCAATTTTTAACCAAATGTTTCAGGACTTAGTTCTAAAATATTGTTAAAAATATGTAAGAGAAGAAATCAAAATCAAAGGTATGATAAACCTTACTCAATGCGAGAAAGTGACGAATAGATCGTGTAATGCTTCGGAAATTCTTTACCGATGGCTTAAATCTTGGTAGTTTAATTTATTTTATTTACAAGGTAGATATGTGGATAAAACTGCAAGACCATAAACATATTTGATTTAAACAGTTCATCAATTACAATTTTATAAGATTTTAAATTTCAGTTTTAATGTATTTTTACTCAAATTAAATACATGCATAAAACATATTTTTATTTTAAAGCTTTGATACAATTTATCTTAAATGAACACTAATAAAATTATTCTCTTGTTACTTAAAATAGCATTTAGAAACCAATGGATTTTTTTTCCCAATTGCTTAGGTAAATACTTTAATTAGGGTTTATGTGTACCATAATAAGCTAAATTGAGCTTGTTCAATGAGTAAATACTTTAAATAGGGCTCATGTGAACCATAATAAGCTAAATTAAGATTACTTAGGAAGGGGCAGATGTTTAATTTGAATTCTTATATTTTGCAATTAATTATAATTACCAAAATTGAGTATCTATATAATTTTACATTTGCCATTAAAAATCAAATTCATATTTCTTAAAATGTTTAATTTTAATTAAATCTTTTGCTTTCTGTAGTTTTCTATTACTCAAACTGTGCGTTTGTAATTTTTATTTTTAAAAGGTAGATGGTGCACTATAAGAACAAAGCATAGATGGTAGAAGAAAGAGAAGTTTAACTTTTTTTCATGTGCAATTATTATATACATCTTTTTTTTTTTTTGTGGAAAAAAAGAAACAAATAATTGATGAAATAGGAGTGTAAAAGAATAGTGAGAATAATAATAATTATGTTAAATTATAAAACCGTCAGGATGATGTAGTTTTGTCACTAAAACAATATTTTTTTTCTTCTTTTTTGTTAGCAAAATTCTTGCTATAAAACAGTAAAATTTGCGATAAAAAAAAATCAAAGATATTGAAATTCTATAATGTTTGCAAAATTTTAAAAATGAATGCCAAATGAAAAGTATTAAAATTGCTAATTGTAACTTTTTGTTGACCCTTTGCTAACAGCGATTGCACGGTGAAGCTTTACATTCTGATTCCCTTGTGTCAGCCGTAAGCAAAAGGTTAATGCATCTTTTTGTATAAAAATGTTTCTTTTATTATAAGATAATTAAGTATATACATACATATATTGAAAATTTGTATTTTAATTATTTATCTTTTAATTTAAGAAAACTTTTTTGGATGCTGAAGCAGGTTTACAAATACATTTTTTCATCTTTTCTTCAGTGTAGCATTATACATTTAATCAAAATTTATAACGTTATTTAATTGATCTTTGATTAAAAAAACTGATAGCCATTTTTATATAAAAAATATCATCATTACTGTAGTACATTTTGCTAAACAAGATGGTGGTCTCTTTAGAAAAAAATGGCTGAAGGAAAAGAAAAGTATCGTTACTCAGTTTTGTCTGTCTGTCCAGTCATGCTATTGATAGTATTTATATTTAACAATTTCCTATAACTATGAAAAACTGATTTTTATGCAAATTTATAAAATAATTTGTAGTAGTGGCATGCTAATTAGCCAGATAAAAATTACTGCCAGTTAAAAGCCAAATAAAATCAGCAATAATCATCAGGCTGATTTTTGATTTTGTCTACCTTGTGATGGGGTTTAAATGATTTAAACATTTATAATAGCCATTTCTTAAACATATTATGTAAAATTTATATGCTAGTGACCAAGCAGAAAGCTTATAGCATTCAATTTAAAAAAGAATAATATTGATTACCCAAAACTTAGAAGATAAGCTTGCTATTTAGAAGAAAGTGTTTGTGAAAGTCAAGTATTGGTCATTGGTCAATAAATCTTTCGAATTGTAAATCCTATTTTTTAGAGTCTGATGTGAAA